TGGAAGTATATCTGACAGTGAGCAGTACAAAAATGATTTATTTTAACACTTTCTTGAATATTTAATTATGGCACGCATGCAAACAAAATCCATTGTAATTGAAATGAGGTTTTAAAATATGATATTTTTAAAGATTATAAGTTAACTCTTTATGGCAACAAACATTGTGCAGGTTTAGTTTGTTCAATTTGAAAAGTAGCATTGAATTTGTAAGGTAACAGTACACACTCAACATTATTCATATTTTTGAAATCATCACTTTGCAAGTGGCATTTTGTCCCTCATTTAGCGAGTGAAAATCCCCAAAATTTTAAGTTTAGTCACATTAAAAATAGTTTGTTCTACTATCGTTTAATTTGTATGGGAGCAAAGTACAAAAGGGCATTTCTTAAAGAAGGAAGTCTGATTGCCAAAACAACTTCTTGGCAACACGAATAGAGATCATAGTACTCACTGTAGATCACAAGTTTTAAGTTAAGTGTGCCTAAGGCTCGTTTTCCTTGCACCCCTTCGACATAGCTTCCTCCTAGCCAGTTAAATTGCAGGGAAAGTTGATCAGACATGGACTCCTTCGGAGTCCTCCTGACAGCATTCTGAAGGTTTACCCCACCGATGGTTGACAGCTTTCTCACCTAAAAATACAAAGTTCATATTTTAACCATAAGGTGTACAATAAAGATACAATAATAAAAAGACAGATCAAAAAGCTCACATCGTACATTTCGCACACATACTTACTTGTGAAACAGGAAGAACGCAAAGAAAGTAACTATAATGATGGAATCTTCCCATGTGTCATTCGTGTGAAATCTGATGTTGTCACATATTGGTGACACGATTAGATTCAAGACTTTTGTTGGTGTTACATGACTACCACTAAGTATGTTTCAAGACACTTACAAGTGATTTCCGATTCGATGGCTCCTCTATGAAATCTTCCAATACATTAAGCTCTTCCATTGTGGACACCGGCAGGACCACGCCTTCCGGAAGGGGAACATCTTCTTTTAAAGCGTCAGTATCCAAACACATGAGTACTTGATTTATTTTGTGATCAACCTTGTCCACCTTTGCCATCAATTTCTCCAGAAGGGTCAAGATACGAACCTCTGCTCCTGTTTAAATACATAATATTACCAATACCAATTTTGACCAACATTACACAAGGCCATGTTAACCTTGTTAACTACCTTTGAACAAACTTAGGTTACTAGGCAGTCCGAACAGTTCCATAAATGTTTTTTGCATTTAAGTAATATTTCTGAAAATACAAGTCAATGGTTTAAAAAATAATGCATTTGCACTTCAATATAGATACTATGGCAATACTATTACTTCACGACATTGTTGTCCTATGTACACTTTTAGAAAAGTCACTGGTTGCTTTATTGTTTTATAGTATATACGAGTACATGTACTGGTAATATACTGAATACAAGTAATACTTGCCAGTGACAGTGGGTGGTATTGCCGTCCTCCCTCTGAAGGTAGGAGATAATGTCTCTGGCAATAAAGACTTCGTCGACATTGATGGGGATTGAGCTCGTGATGTTGGTGATGCCAGTGGAGCTCTCGATGGCAACCTGTAAGTCTGCAAACAGGGTTGCCCGGGAACTGTCTTCGGTGGGTTTTTTGGGAGTTCTAGTTCTTTTGAACATGTTGAATGTGACGGTCTCTGCATGGACTGCGAAGCTTCAGTGTCTGTGTCATCTGACATGTCCGGCATTAGACGCTTGGCAAGTGGCCCTTGGTCCTCCTCATCAACTTCAAACCGAGATGGTGGCCTGTTGAAAAAAACTGGTTGTTTAGAAACATCCATAAATTGTAAAAGTGACAGCAAAATCTATGTAAAGCTAAACACGTCAGTATTAACCTTAAAGTATAAGGGATAGTCACGATGTGGCTGAAATATTGCCGATGTGACTTAAAATTTTAACTCACTCACTCACTAAAGTATAAGGTCAGCTTGAGACTTAAAAGAGCTCACCTCATCCAGATGCATACAATTAATAGGTTGTTAATTTGACCAAGTTGATGACATCCATTATTAGAGCCACAAGTACATATATTAGACTGAACTTGAGGACAAAGATACCACTGAGCATACCCCTGCCCCACAGAACTGAAGTCAAACTTACGTAATTTTCCGCTTTGACAGCCTGTATTTTGTTATTTCCTTCTCTTCTTCATCCTCCTCAGCAGTCTGAACATCGATGTTTTCCATTGCTTGGCGTTCTTTTTCCAAGGCCCTTGTGTAACTTTCTGTAGAACAATAAGTGTACACCATATGCAAGTTATTAAATAAAGAAATTTTAGTACAGCCATATTAATGGGTTGAATGCTGTTTAACAGTATTTATTGAATGACCTTGAGTCAACAGACATGATGGACCCAGCGTCATACTGCATGTTAATATTTCACATGTCATACGCAATGGGTCAACATTGTTGGCGAAAGGGGCAGAAGATATAGGGGCATGGACTTATGGGGACAAAAAGACTGAACAATATGGTAACAGTTAACTTGACACTAAGTGACCCAACTTTTAAGAATGAAGTTTACGGTAAGTTTTTAGAACTATGAAACTCAATTTAATGTGATAATATATACATACCTGTTTCTCCAAGCTCCCTTATTGGATATGAAATCCATGAGGCTCTTGGTGGCTCCTGTCGTTCCACAGCCTTGCGTAAATAGGGTTATTTGAAGGAGTGTTAACCATGGTTTAAATTGGATAGGCCTTTACGGCGTTCCGAGCATAGGGTTTTCAACTGACCATTTCAACGATTAAACACCATATGTTATACTTCGTCTATATTGTTTGTCATTTGTTCTTTACTTTTTCTTTTTTTTTAGCAAATTGTTTTCAGCAGCTGTCAACAGGGAGTTTAGGGAACCAAGAATTGTTAAAGTTTGTTTGTCTGTTGTTTAACGCCACACTCAGCAATAATCCAGATATATGACGGCGGTCTGTAAATAATCGAGTCTGGACCAGACAATCCAGTGATTAATATCATGAGCATGAATCCACGCAATTGGGATCGATGACATGCATCAAACAAGTCAGCGAGCCTGACCACCCGATCCCGTTAGTCGTCTCTAACGATGATTACACGTATGGGTACCATGTGTGAATGCCATTGTTGATTCAATTCTGTATTTGGTACAGATGTAGGTCATCGGCCCATAGAATACAGTATACAGCCGTCCAGTCAGACATTATAACACTGCGTCGAGCTTGCAGATTATATAAGTTTCCTGACATTCATTTCATGGTAGATAGCTAAATTTCTTGAAACTCTTTCATTTGAGGTAGACATGAATATATAAAATCTTCCTAGTGATGGATGGACATGATATTTCTGAAGTAAGTACATTTGGCGGAGATCTTTATACACACTGCAAATAGCAGGAATACCACTCTGCCCCTACACAGCCCGGGGGCACGGGTGGCCCAGTCGTCTAAGGCGCCGCCATTCGCAGTGCAGAGTTGCGTTCCTTCGGCACGCCAAATACCTATGATTGTGGGTTCGAATCCCGGTTCGCCCCGATTATGTTTCTAGGTTTGTCAGCACCATACCCGTGCTCGTGGGTTTCACCGAAGTGGTAAACGTCAGAGACCTGCATCACTTCGGGCTTTCCTCCCACATTAAGCTGACACGCCAGCCTACATTCTGTTACCATTGCAATGTTTGCCTGAATGTTTTCATCATGCTCATTTACTGGGAAGGGAGTTATGTTTTGTGGGAGTTTGTCAGTGAAAAGTTTGCTTCTGTTGTTTGGTTTGTTGTATGACAGCTGCTTGGAAATATCAGGTCTGGACCAGACAATCCAGTGATTGACATCATGAGCATCAGTCCTCGCATTTGGAACCTGATGACATGCAATTAACCAAGTCACTGAGCCTGACCAACCGATCCATATTTTGTCGCCTCTTACAACAAACTTAGGTTGCAGGTGACCTAAATTCTTACCTGAAATCCCTACAGTTCTATTTTAGCGTTTCTTCTTCTTCTTCTTCTTCTTCTTCTTCTTCTTCTTGGGCACGTCAGAAACCTATGATTGTGGGTTCAAAGCCTGGTTCACCCCGATTATGTTTCTAGGTTTGTCAGTACCATACCCGTGCTCGTGGGTTTCACCGAAGTGGTAAACGTCTGACACCTGCATCACTTCTGACTTTCTTCCCACATTAAGCAGACACGCTGCGATATAACTGGAATACTGTTAAAAGCGGCGTTAAACACAACTCACTCTCACTCACTCTACACAGCCCAGATTACAAACCTTGCTTTTATAGTCTTTGTTCTGTAGATATGTGTACATATCTACAGGTCTCGATAGATAACTAATATGAGCTGCACCGGAGCTGCACAAAAACATACCTGATTTTACTTATTGTTACTGTATTGATATTAGGCTCAACAAAAAACTGATTATTGAACAATGAGTAATGAAACAACATAGACATACCACGCATCTCAGCATGCCTGACCTATTGGGGGGCATTTAATCTACATTACAAATACATTCTGACATAAAAGATTCCTGACTGGTTTTCCCAAATACACCCAAAACCATATTTATAGAGAAGGAAAGAAGGGACTTTACCGTGCATACCATTTTTTTTAATCCATTTTTTTTGATACTGTGAACCTGGCATTTTAACATTTCACACCAATATTTAATGCAACGTTTAAACACCAATATATCAAGTGGATATCTACCACATTCTCATTGTTTGTGTCGACTCTGCTTGTCGTAAAAGGCGACTAACGGGATCGGGTGGTCAGGCTCGCTGACTTGGTTGATTAAACAACAAACCAAACAAAAAAATCATTGTTTGTGTTCCCAGAAAGGAAATTACTTAAATAATGCTAAATGCGGCGTAAAATACGCATTAGACGTAATAATAAGCATTCCGCGTTCGTTTCATGAATTCGCCAATTTGGATATTGCGAATAATTCGTTTCGCTTTATATCTCCCGTCCTAGGTAGAAATATTTCTACGCAAAATATCACCAATATGTTTCCTTTTTAATGACATATTTTTCAAAGAGTCATTTCATATATAAGTTTATGGCTGTTGCTATTTAGCTGCAGGTTATCAATAAGTTTTGGCGAACAACATGTCTTTGAGTGCGAACCTAATGTTTTTGACTGCGTGATTAATGGTTCGATTTTCACTCGTGGCTATGCGTCAAATATGACTTGTTTACGATATTTATATCACGGAAACTAAATCCCTTTGCAAAGATATTTGGTGAAAATGGAACCTCAGAAATGTGATGCTAGCTAGAATAGAACTATTCATTTGATGGAAGAAGAATGAGCAAGACATTCCATTTCAACGGAGCTCTCTAATCAGGTAATGTCACTGAAATAATAAAATATGCAAATCAAAACATATGATTGATACCTGCTACGTGATTTCAACTCGGTCTTGAAATTTGCAGGGTTTTGTATCCCTGATACGTCACATATGTGTGTATTTATCATTTAATCGAACTGAAACTGCATGTTTATTTAATTAGTTTAAAGGGACTTCCTCACGGTCCGCCTGTACAGGCCTATTCATCATGTTCATGTAAACTCATCCCTCTGATGTTGGACCCCTGAAGATCTTCAGCAACCCGTGCTTTCCGATAAAGGTGACTATGCTTGTCGTAAGAGGCGACTAACAGGATCGGGTGGTCAGGCTCGCTTACTTGATTGATGCATGTCGTCATATCCCAATTTCGTGGATCGATGCTCATGATGTCAATCACTCGATTGTCTGGTCCAGACTCAAATTACTTACAGACCGCCATCATATATCTGGAATATAGCTGCGGTTTTAAACAAACAAACTCTGATATTGAGGTACAGGTCAACATTGATTAAGCTGTAACTTATACAGCAAATAGTATATCATAGTGTATTTGCTCTACTATTAAAGCACCCTGCTCCCTTACCAACTTCTAAACCTACCTGTAACTATCCCCGTGTTATGGGTTTTCTTGAAAATTGTATAAGGATCTTTACCGAAACGTTGCCTTTACCATTTTTACAGTAAATAAAGAAGTTGTTATCCATAAATTGTCTCTACCATGTCTACCTTGCTTAAGAAACATTTATAGTTTCCCACTAATCACAAGACAGCTATATTTTAAAGACAAGCCATCATTTGAGTGTTTGATTTACAATGTCTGTATCATGCCACATCCCGTGTTATAGCGTGAGTAATTTTTATAAACATGGCTGTCTGAAAACTTATGAACTATGATGTCCGAAAATATATGATCTGACGATACGTTAATCTTTTTAGACACCCCCTTAGGCCCTAGGAAGACTAACCCATACCCTTAGAGAGCTAACCCATACCCTAAAGAGGCTGTGGGTGAATTTGCTACCAAACCCTCATCGCTATATGGCTGAAATAATGCTGGTGCGGCGATCAATTTTAACTTACTCACTAACCAATTCGTAAACCAGTTCTGCCAGTTATATTTTATAGGCCCTCCTATCTATTTGAATATAAAGAGCTGAGATTGAGCCGGCGCCACTTCAACTAGATCGCGTAATCACAAGATGAAAATTAGCATAACACCGTAGCACTGGAAATCCTGTTATTGCACTATTCACAAGTTCATTCAGTTAACTGTGTAGAAATTGTGCATGAAGTGAAAATTTTTATTTTCAGAAAACACGGTCAAATTACCGTTATTGACCTTTTGAAACAAACAGGAAGATGTGAGCTGATTGCTATTTCCAGTTTAGTTTATGAGAAAATACGTGAGGTAATTTTAATTTCTGCATATAAAACAGGAACAGGAAATAAGGGATATGAGGTTGTATTTTACTGTGTGTGGTTGTTCTTTATCGTTCCTCCGATAGGTGTCGCTGGGTGCAGCAAGAATAGCGCTGAACCACAATAAGGTGCATTAATCATGTTTATGACGAAGCATTTCTCCAGTGCCACAAGGCCAAATTGTATATCACATGATCGGACATTTGGATCGTTCTTTCTTGTTATCACCCAGGAACAATTATTGCAAACCGTTATAGCGCGCACATGGTCGCATCTGATTTTAGTTAGCTATTCAGGGATTGAATTAATCAGTATCAAGCGCTTCAAAGAGTACTGCCGTCTCACATACGTCTCGCGTACACGTTACATCTGCGACTGATTAATGTGGACTCCTATAGAAGCAATAGTTCTGTAACCCTGCTCGTCTCACCACTTACAGAATGATCCACTTGTCCCTCTCAGCTCTGATATACTTATACTTCTTGAACGAAAAACAACAATATCATTGATAATATTGATTATTAGCTTTCACTTCAAATCTGAAAATATGTGTCTACGAATTCACTCCCGGTTTGTCTACTTACATTGTGTCGACACGTTAGCAGTGGCTACTAATTCATGTATCATGAAATTTGACAAGCAGCCTGAAACTTTTTATGATTGATCCCAGCTGTGGTGTCACCAGAACGTGTTCTTCTGTTTGAACCAAAATATAACATGCAAGCCATTGCGTTTATTTCGTGATAAAACATTGTTCTATCATGCACTCGCAACTTGATGATGTCGTAAATTGGACAATGATATTTTTTAGAGGGAAGTGTCTAGTGAGTTGTTCCCCATAGATGTAGCTGGGCAACACAGAAAACCACCATGGCCGAACAATTGCATCCGAAAGTGCGTGAGATATGGCAATCTGTATTAGGGGAAAAGCAGGAGTAGAAACTAATATATTTAGTCCACTAGTCCTCATAATAATATCATATAGCAAAACCCTTAAAAATGGCAATTTTTCTCCTAACGGTACTCATTAGGATACCTTAACTATTGGGCAGTTTGGCAAGGGCTACAGGACTAGTGCCAGTTTCTAACGCTGAAAAGGTACACATAATTGCCATGAAAATTAAGAGAATATCCTTGAAATACCAAACTTAGTCCACTTGTTCATAAAATGGAATTGTCCAACAGTCTCAAGGTCGGCTTCTATTGAGGGAGTCATCGTTATTTAAATACAGGTAAATATTTTTAAAGCTTGTACATTTTATAAACATCCTTAAAGATGCTGTACATAATGACACTGCAGGGAGAATTAACCATGAGTGGCTGGACTATTGTAACTCCCATTCTTTAACAACTACTCATGGTAATGATAACCCTGAAAACACTTTGTGGAACAGGGCTGTTGGTCATTAGGGTTCTCTGAGCCTGACTAAGAAAAAACAATATGGATATAGAGCTACAGATATTTGCATAAAATACTCCCCAATAATAATCAAAACCCAATAACTTTCAATTAACTTGCTTACAGAAACCCATGCATTTAATGAAAAACTGAAATGTTTAAAAACAGCAAGCATAAATACCCAATGAAGCTTTTTGAGCATGCATACAATGAAGCTAATTTCGGAAACTTAATTATGAGCTTACCGTATACGACGTAATAAGCGCCTAGGGCGCTCTCAAAATTAGAAATAGGGGCCTCTTATTAGAATAAAATTTTGGTGAACAGAGTTGAAAGATCGTAAATTTCGTGGTTTATGCTGACGGCCTGAAATGATACAAAAGAAACGTCTGTACGTATTATACACGACAGATATATTTTTTTCCGAATTTAATTGCCCATAATTAAGGGTGCATATAACACACGAGTGCGTATTATACACGAATAAATAAGTCTTGTGTACATTGATCTATTGGAAGGGGTGCTAATTGAGATTGTTCACTAGCCAATATATCAGCAAATATCGGCGCTTATTAGAGCGGGGCGCTTATTACGTCGAATACGGTATTTACTTGTCAAACCCTTTAGTTAGAACCCTTATATAAACATCTAAAACACTGTGAACTACAAAACAGCATCATTTTAACAACTTATTTTAATAATATTAGTTACAAATGTAGTTCACTTCAAAAGTATCACACCACAAGACACTATTTATGTATGTCCTTTGCATTGATCATGTTGATATGGAAGGCATATTCTCATGTTTATTCTTTTGTCGCATATGTTGATGTGAATAGACGTGAAAAACAATATCAAGGATGTTTGTCTTTAAGATGTTGAAGCAGTTACAGAATATTTGTCATTTTCATTCATTTGCCAAACCTCTAATGGTCCCTGGCTGGGCCGGCATTTTGTAATGTGATCAAATGTAGGGGTGTCATGATAAATTGAAATATCAATATATTGCTATTGGTAAGCACCTGAAGTCAATAAATTGATTGTTAAATCAGTTTCCGATCAATGGTATTGATTTCAGTTAGGAATATTGGTAGCTTTGATGGTATTTACCATATCAGTAAAATACAGGCAATGCTGTTTAAATTTGTTTTTCTTTTGATCATGAGTGGTAGTAATTTACACATGGTAGTGTGGAAGTTTCTTTTTCTTAAATTATTAGGGTAAAAAAAACCAAATCAGTCATATCTCAAACTTTACTTTTTATTTGTTGTTATGGTTATCACATTCAAAGGAAACTTCAGCATGTTCAGTTCAAAGGTTTAATTCAACTCAAAAATCCATCTAAAATGATACACCACATACACTGAAAACTATGGATATTTATCGCAATAGTCACCCCGAATCAGACTTGACAGTATCAGTTTTACTCCAGTTTACATTCTGGAGTGAGTGAGTGAGTGAGTGAATGTTTGCCTGAAATATTTTCATCATGCTCATCTACTGGGAATGGAGTTATGTTTTGTGGGAGTTTGTTAGTGAAAAGTTTGCTTCTGTTGTTCGGTTTGTTGTGTAATGCCATACTCAGCAATATTCCAGTTGTATGACAGCTGTCTGGACCAGACAATCCAGTGAATGACATCATGAGCATCGGTCCCCGCATTTGGAACATGATGACATGCAATTAACCTAGTGACTGAGCCTGACCAACCGATCCATATTTTGTCACCTCTTACAACACCAACAAACATAGGTTGCTGGTGACCAAATTTCTTACCTGAAATCCCTACAGGTCTGTTTTAGTGTTTCTTCTTCTTCTTCTTCTTGGGGGCACAGGGGGCCTAGTCCTCTAAGGCGCCATGATTCGCTGTGCAGAGTTGCGTCCCTTGGGCACGCCAGAAACCTATGATTGTGGGTTCAAATCCCAGTTCGCCCCGATTATGTTTCTAGGTTTGTCAGCACCATACTCGTGCTCGTGGGTTTCAAAGAAGTGGTAAACGTCTGAGACCTGCATCACTTTGGGCTTTCCTCCCACATTAAGCTGGCACGCCGTGATATAACTGGAATATACTGGAACCCACTCACTCACTCACTCACTCACTCACTCACTCACTCACCCACTCACTCACTCACTCACTCACTCACTCACTCACTCACTCACTCACTCACTCACTCACTTCTG